CCTTTCTATATTCGATCATGAAACAGTCAAATGCACAATTCTTCATTCTTTAAATAATTACTTTTTTGATCATAAAAAATTTTCAAAAACTTGTAGAGGGGGCTGAGCCCCCTCTAGCCCCCGTCTGGTTACGCCACTATTCCAATAGCAGGTGTACACAGCATAAGTAAAATGTACAGAACATCTGCTGTGTCTGATTTACACTCTGATTTACACTTTGCTAAAAAAAGCAAAATGTACGGCGTACATTTTGCTAAAAAAAATTACACTTTGATTCTAGTTCTGATCATTATGACATGCATCAAGATGAAGAGGAAAATCAAGATGATTGACGCTTTTGCTGCTATTATATTTGAAAAATTAATATATTAACTTTTTTTTGTTGTAAAAAGTCTTTTTTTCTCAGGTTTTTGTAATGAAACGTCTCACATTAAGGAATAGTACGTCTATTTGCCACTTGTGTTTACTAAGTATTTATTTATTTTCTTCATGAAATGAAATGAACATTATTTTTGTTTTCTAGATTGAAAAGAATTCATTTCTGTACACTTTGTACTTTTTGCTGCTAAAAATAAAGTGTACACATGCATGTTGCTGGTAAAACGAAAATGTACATGTACGTTTTGTTTTAGATTTCCATTGGAAACCCGTCGGGGAATGATGTAAGAAAAAAGAAGAATGACCTGACGCATAAACCACCAATGAAATACAACGAAAAATGTTACGGATCAAACAGACTAGAGGAGTCGAATTAAACAAAAATTTTATTAAGCCATGTGATTGGTTACATCAGCTTTTCTTTTAATTCGTTTTTTCTAATATGTTTGACCCCTAAGAAAGAAAAATGTTATTACCTATTCATCGTTGACTATCATAACGGGCGTCAATATTTATTCTTGCTTATTCTCACAGACGAAGATGAGAAAATGCAGACATATAGCTTAACCTAAATATTCGCTATCGGCCAAATATGGACACTTCAAACTACAATCATCTCAATATACTCGATTTACCTAATGAAATATTAGCCATTATTTTCAACAAATTGAATATGGTTGATGTTTTCTATTCACTTGTGGATGTTAATGACCGATTTAATCGATTAATATTTTATCCACTTTTTATTCGTCATCTTGATATGATTATCGATTCATCATCTCATCATGTCATTCTAATGGACAAGCAAATCTCAAAAATTTGTGATAATGTTTTACCTCGAATTCATCATCAAATAACTCAAATAACTGTTGAACCGCACTCAATAAGACGTATTCTTACTTTCAATTATTCTCATCTTTATTCTTTATCACTTGTCAATTTTCCAGAAAGTATGCTTTATGAATATTTCATTGGTATGTTATTTTGTTCGTTTTAATTAAGAAAATAATGAATTTGTTAAACATAAAATAATAATCATTTTTGGTTTCTTTTTTTTAACAGAAGATGATTCAATGCTTTACGATCTGTTTGCTAAACAAATCACACATCTCAATATTAATTTTCTAAACAACACACCAAATGACTACTCGATAATTCGATCATATATTTTCACATCTATTTTATTTTTATGTAAACAATTGATAAATTTAAATTTCTGTCAGTTTTCTAATGAAAATTTGACGATTAGTGTGTTTGGACTAGAATCAGAAAAGTTGATGTCTTCAACATTAACGAATTTGAAAATTAATATGAATTTTATTGACGATTGTCTTTGGCTTCTTGATGGCCGTCTAACTTGTTTATCGACTTTAATTATCATTATAACCGAAATTTCCAATACAAGATGGAACACGGATAACACTGTAAGTGCAATTTTAGTCAATCGTATTTTATGGAAAAACACGTATTTTTATAAAAGAGGCGATCACCAAAATTGGAAACTGATGGAATTAGTATAGAGAACTTGGGAAGCTATTTCTATGAACGTTCACAATGATTCAGATAATTTGAAGTGTAAAAGTGGTTTCCAGTTCACACCGGTTTTTTCCACGCACAATCTTCCATAGGTTTTGGCAGTGAGTACGCCTTCTCGAGCTACCAATATGCTCAAGAGATTGAGCCGTAATGTTGTAGTATGCGAAGAGAACGATGAACACATTTTCTCGATTTTTATTCTTATTGTGAGAGTTTGCGTGCGACTGAGAAATTGAAAAGTCTGACAACAGGAATAAAACTCGTGAAAGTTTGTTCTTGCTATTTTTCTTGTAGTTCAAGATAAAGGCCTAATATTTTTGGTATATGCGTAACTGGAATAGACCTAATCACTTGCAAAATCTATGACGAATCGTACCTTGAAAATGTGACTTCGAAGTCATTTATATGTTGCAACTATGTTGAGTGTTCATGAATGTTTGTAGAATTGAGTTGCAGAATTCTATATACTAATAGTATGGGTTGTCAGGCCCGTAGTCAAAAATTTTCTCAGGAGCCTAACATGGCGAAAAATCAGTTTTGACTCGTGAAAATCCGACTGACAGTATCCCCTGCGGGAAAGTTTTGTACTAAGGGAGGTCGTGTCCGCTTCGCAACGTCCCTGTCAGTTCCTAATTTGCGGGCAATCGTGGATGATCGTATCTTTTAAAAATAGCTGAAAAAAACATCATCGACATAGAAAGATATTGCTAAAATTATTTTTTCGTTTTAGATAAAACTTCCCAAATTGAAGTATTTCTCGTTAATTTCATATAATTACACATATAATTTTGATGATCTAGTTTGTCCGTTACTTCATCGAATGATAAATCTTGAAAATTTGAAATTATATTTATTCGTAAGAAGATTGGATTCGACCTATGTGGATGGTATTCAATTATATGACAAAATTCTTACTTACATGCCAAGATTAAATACATTTATTTTCAGTATAAAGACAGTTGTTATTAATGAGAATGTTAGAATTTCTCTGTCATCAAATGATGATATTCAACGTAGTTTTGTTGGAAAAAAGTATGGTCAAGTTTGTTCATCTGTTGAGACGAAATTGATGGAGACTGTTGGCAAATGTCATATTTATTCATATCCGTATGAATTCAAATATTTTCATTATCTCAACAATTCTTTTCCAGGTGGCATGTTTCATAAAGTTCGAGAGTTGAGAATGTCGGATACGCTTCCGTTTCAATATGAATTATTCAAAATTATTTCCCAAGATTTTCCTTTTCTGAAATATCTATATATATCTAATGATAAATCAGAAAAAGATGAAGAAGTTTCGTTTCCATTGATAAATTTTCCACATCTTACACTTTTGCATGTACAGTTTGCACATGTAAATTATGTTGAACAATTTCTTTTGAAGAAAAATACTCATTTACCTCGTTTGTTAAATCTCTATATTCGATACGAGTCACTCGTAAAAGTCACAAATAATTTTACCAATAATGCAGTACATCTCAATTTCGACAAATTGAAAGGTCTTCATATGCTTGAATCATTTGTTGGTCCAGACAGTTTCCATAAATATTTTACTTTCTTAGAAATATTCATTTTGTAAAAAAATTTTTTTTTTTTTCAATAAATGTTAATACTTTGAGAAGGTTAAATATATTTGAATCATGTAGATCAATTAAAATAAATCATTTTAAAAAGAAAGAAAATTTTCTTTATTTATGAAAGTCGGATGTCGATTCATTCTTTGCTTGAATGAATTATTTTTCTCAATTGAAGAAGATGTGAAAAAGTAGGATGAGAAAAGGAGAGAGAAATATTAATTAAAATACTATCATTTTATGTACTCTGCATCTTTAACAAGCGTTGAAACAACTAGTAATTATATGTGAATATCCATCTGAAGTTGTCTCTTGCTCATTTCTTTGTAAGCGTAATATTATCTAGGCTTATTGAGCTTTCAAGGATATTAAATATTAAACGAACTAAATAATTATTATTTCATTGCTTTGAAAAGTATCAATCTCATATAATACAAGAAAAAGTCTTTAATAATAATCAATTATTAATATTCTTTTTGGATTATGATAGTATTGATAGAAATCTTCTTTTATTTATAAATACATTTCAAATGAATAACGAATCATTGGAACTCGAACGAATGATACAAACAAAAATGATTTTAATTGAAATAATTATTATTATATATGCGAGATCCAATTATTAATTTAAACTAAAAATTTATTAAAACAATTTCGAAGTAAAAAGTTTTCTATAAGAAATTATGTGAAAAAACTATTTGTTTAATATAGAACAACTGAAAAATTCTCGAAACAAAATTGAATGAGTTGAACCTAAATTATTTATATTAAAAAATGAAAATGCTAAACCTAAATCAAAATATTGAATTACGTTTAGAAGCATTTGAAGATATATTAAATAAACTTGTTTATCAATCATATCATCATTCACATCAAGAATAAAGATCTGATAATTACAATTTAAGAATATAAAAAATTTCTTTTTTAAATGTAGTTGACTAATTTTTCCTCTACCTTGAACATACACGATTACATTAAGTTTTTCTCGTAATGTATAAGGTCTCTAAAAATTTACAAAAATACCTTTTCAATGAACTCTACGAATAAATATAAAATACTGTTAATGACTTTCCTAATTAAAGTTTCTTTTACTTATTCGAAACAACTTATATATACATTATTAGCTTGATAGTTTTATATATTCTTTTTTATTCTTATTCGTTCAATATTGTTAATAATTACAATATAAAATACTTATGTCTTTGAAACGATTCATCTTTCGCCTCAATCGTTCTCATTTAATCAAATTCTCTTTTTTTTTCGGCAATCTAGTGATCAATCATACTATTTCTTTTTTTTTCTTCTTATTCTGTAGAATACATGCAACATGATTATCACATTAACACACAAAGTCTATATCTCGCGAGAATGTTATGTCTCTCAGTTGTCTTTTCTTTATAACTATAATCATACAATTGTCTTCAATCTGTAGCTAAATATACACATATTCAGATTTTCTTATAATCTAAAATAATAACTATACAGCTAAAACGCAGGTAACGCACAGACGTTTTTAAAACTTCGAACGAATTTATCTAGAGAATGGTAAGTGGGAAAAACTTGTAATTGGTAACAAATATGTAAGTAAATAAATTCTATAATACTTAAA